ACTTTTTTTATAAATTAACATCTTTACATTTTTAACCCATATAGGGTGGTATGTGTAAAGGGAAAGGATAGCTCTGACAGATTTTAATGTATTTATTATTTTGTTGTTAAATATTGAAGCATAATATATGATAACTATTGTATTAATTAATAAACAGTGATGTCTATAGAGAAAGAGTTTGCAGTAAACCAACGAGAGAGATTATAGTAAGTTCCCACACGAATAAAAGTAAAACCTCATATTTAAAGAAAGCAGACAAAAACGCGAAGTACTCACTGGGCCTTTGACATGTCCCAAGGATACCAAGCTAAGTTTGAGCGCGAGGAGAACTACAAGTTCTGTCTGATCACTTTGCGGACATCAGGAGGAGAGTATCTCTCAATCTAAGAAAGTCGTCGCTTGGGCGTGCTTCCTGGAAGCCGCACTGACCGGAGAACGCATACCACCATACTGTGCTCTTTTGAAACAATAAGTGTTGGGGTACACAGGGCAGCACATCAATCATTCCAAGGTTGTTAGCAGTTCTACACTGATTGTTTCTACGTCTGAGTTTTCGGTGGCCGTTGAAGGGGAAACTGCAAAGTGACACCTGCAAAACACACAACACACACACCACACGACAGAACTACAGATATCTATAACAACCGGCCAGGTAATTTATACTTCTGAATCGTCTGGTTTACTGATATAAAACTCAAATCTGTGTATGTTTGTGTGTGTGTGTGTGTGTGTGTGTGTGTGTGTGTGTGTGTGTTTGCAGAGGGAACAGGGCCATTACTATGGTTACGTGTATTTCCGTCAGGTGCGAGACAAGTCCCTGAAGAGAGGATACTTCCAGAAGGTCAGTGTCACTGCAGTTCCCCTTCAACGCACCAAAAACTCACGTAGAACAATCAGTGTAGACTAACACTTATAAATCAGTCAGTCACCAATATGTTAAAAAGTATAATATATAAAGATTTTTGTCAAGTTAATCGAAATTTCGTAACTTGATTTTGACTTAAGGCCAAATTCTCTGGTTTCTGCTTCTTAAATATGAGGTTTTACTTTATTTCTCTGTTGTATATAATAAAAGTTTATATAATATAATAAACTGCATATCTTTTTTACACCCTATAGACTAAATGATTAATTTAAAAAAGTAATTGACAGATTAATAAATAATGAAATACAATAATCACCCAGAATGCACTATATTCCTGCCAAAATACAATGTGTGGTATTTCCAAAAGCCGTTCAAACGTTAATAAATAACAGATCAACCGAAAGGTTCAGTGGACGCAGGTTTAACACGAAACACTGATATTAAATGATAGTATTAAAAAACATGTGAATATAACTTCTCTCTCTGTGTCTCTCTACCAGTCTCTGGTCCTGATCAGTAAGCTGCCCTATGTGACCTTCTTCCACTCCCTGTTGAAGATCATGGCTCCAGAATACTTTGAGAAACAGGAGCCCTGTCTGGAGGCTGGTCAGTCTCATTACCTGTCTGTCTGTCTGTCTGTCTGTCTGTCTGTCTGTCTGCCTTTATATGTGTGTCTGTAGCTGCCAAAATATTAAGATGAAATACAGACGCTCATAACGAGAGACTGTCTCACTACACTGGCTTTTTATATTTTGACACAGGCATCACATACTCGGGCCACTTTATAAAGACAATGACATGCCCTTTGACCACTTGCAGGGGCCTCAGGTTGTCTTCTGGCTGTTCAAATGTCGTGGCAGGAACCTAAAGTGACTCACAGAAGCCCGTTCACCCTAACTACAAACATATATTTTATATATAGAGGTGAAAGGAATTTATGTTATGGTGTTCATAGCCTTGAAAATTAGCTTTTTTTTTTTTAAACAGTAACACTTTGATTTGAAACTGTGTCCCTGTAACTCCAGATAATCTTCGAAACACACTGTGGACAGTTTTCATTGGAACTACTTTCTACTGAAGAAATAGTCCCTGTGTTTGTCTGGAGTTATGTTACAAGGACACTATTTCTGAGAAGAAGTATTGTTTTTGGGGTTTTCCAGTAATGTTTTTACCACTGTGAGCAGCACAAACAAAGTTCAGTTCACCTCCAGTGTATTTGGGTAGAGGCAGAAATCTCAGAGACAGATTTCTGAAAAACCTAGACAAATAAAACCGTCTGTCTGTGAGGGGAGACACAGTACCACTGGAGGAAAGTGTGAGTTCTGTGTGAACCACAGTTCAGAGAAGTGATCAACAGCTCTCGTTTCTGTATTGTCCAGGTTAAATAAACATTATAACTTCACGAAAGTAGGTTTTATTGCAGGCAGTTGTGTTAGACACCTAATAAACAAACAGCTGAATGTAGATAAACTTTATTTACTGACTTGCGCTCAGTGAAGTTCTGTTTAGCTTCAGGATGAAGGTTTTGGTCGTTATAAAGTGGATTCTGATCCAGATCATTGTTGTTTTGTGTATTTGATTTACAGCTTGTAATGACATAGACCGCTGGCCGACGCCCCATCCTGGACGAATCCTCACGCTGCCTATTATGGGCGTGGTCATTAAGGTACAAACACACACACTCAATGAGTAGAGACGTGTCATTTTGACTTGTCACAGCAGGTAAAAGCACAGGTGCCACTGCTCATGCACTCAGCAGGCCCTGCAGCTGGAACAACTGTAATGGGATTCAGCCAATATCAATGTAATTAGTTACACGTGTGTTTGATAAGTCAAAATATCCTTTATGAGAAAAATCTGTTGTGTTTCTTTCAAAGATACATTGCAGACTTTCGTTCTGCATGTGCCGTGTGTGTTCTCAGTGCGGCCTCTGCTGACAACTCTTCCACAACCCCCCCCCACTCGAGGAAAACATGGCCCACAACACAACGAACAACCAAAGGCTCCCACATTATAGTACAATGTACATATTTTGGAGCACAAACAAGTAATATAACGCCCAAAACACAAATTACACTAAAAGTAATCTGGACAAAAAATGACATGCACGCTATCATCCGATCATTAATTAAAGCATTCAGAAGCAGCGGAGCTGCGGAGCTGCTGCTGCCAGCCCGATCTTTCTATACTGAGTCTGCCTTTGATAAATACAGAGCTTTTAATCTCAAACAGATCAGAACTTGTTGAGTTATTGACTTAAAATATATTTATATTTCTTTCATGTCTGACATATTCTACACGTATAGACAGTGAAACTGTAGTGAAAGGTGTATATGATGTCGATATGACTATGAACAGACTGCTCACGGAAAAACAAGCGAGACCTCGACTCTCACTACAGTGACAGCTGCGATGTACAGCTCCGTGTGGTTGCTTTATCCTGTTTACATGGGCACCAACATAAAAAACAAGACTTTCCACCATGCACTGCAGACACAGGCAGTGTGGACTGGGCTTCATAATCTGTTTTTAAATGGGTTTCTGGTGAGTGTTCAAGCTGTGACTGTGTTGAATTTGTGTGTCGCTGCAGGTTCGCATCCCAACCTGTTACGACAAACCAGGAACCTCGCAGCTGGTCCAGTCTGCACAGGTAATCTCACACACACATTAAAAACATTAGATCTTTTGTGTTGATGATTTGATGATTATTTCAGCTAAAAGAGGGTGTGTCTGTTTCTCAGAGTGACAGTCAGGTGTCCATCGTGCTCCCGACCATCCATGAAGTCGACCTCTTCAGGTGAGACCTGCAGATCACAGTGTTTTACTTCTCCACAACACACATGCTTGTATCACACTCTGTCACCACCTGCTGTTCGGTGGTGGTACCGCAGCAGTTTTCCTCTGACAGCTCTGTTTTACCTTTTGACACCTGGTGAACAAAACCACCTTCTTTCCCAAAGATTACCTGCCAGAAATATTTTTTTGTAGGACAAAATAAAGACTGATATTTCCTTGATGGCAATATTCAGTTTTCTATAACTAGATAACTCACTTTTAAAGTTAGTGCCCTTATTTACAGAACTCACCCATAGGGTCAGGGTGACCAGGCAGCATGAATAGTCATGGTAATTATTAAAAGGTCAGTTTCGCCCTGTTGAGTTTATTTGCGTGATCTGAATTCAGGTCAAAGAAGAACAAAAACCGCCTCCAGCTCACATTTAAGTTCATTTGTTTATTTCAGCTGTTTCTCAAGGAAGAACTGAACTGAATAAAGGGAATAAAACTAAATGTAACAGATATAAATGTATAAATAAAGCAATATATCGAAACAAAACCACTTTGTGCAAAATGTGAACTCCTATATGCCTACAAGTGTTCCTCTGCACAAAATAAATATTCAGCAAAGCACAGAAAATGCATTTTAAACAAATGTTTGTTCTGACAGTTGAGAGAATAATCAGTCCACCAATAATCCCCATCCATCTTAATTTCCTTAAAAGACCTAATCAGGTTTTTTCAGTGTTTTATTCCTAAAAATGTAACATCACAGCCAATAATTTTTCAAAGCATACAATAGTGTTGTGGACTGTTGCATGTTTCCACCTTCCAGACATTCATTTGTTTCTAGGTAATTTTAATATTTTGTGAAAATCCACTCGAGAAGCAGGTGAACTTTAACCTTGCTGGTAATGTCACCATAATAAACCTTTACTTCACACACATTCTTTCTCTCTCTCCAGGTGTTTCTACCCGGTCTTCTTCCACATCCAGATGCTGTGGGAATTAGTGTTGCTGGGGGAGGCACTTGTCGTCATGGCACCATCGCCAGCGGAGTCGTCGGACACCGTGCTGGCATTGGTCAGGTGAGTTGGAGAGAGGGGTAAGGGCCGGTCAGCATGCAGGTAGTTACAGGAGCTTGACAC